TTTATTTAGAACAACATTACCAACAAAACATATGAAAGGGATTTTATAGTGAGCTGCAACTATTTCTATTTAGCTTTCTATATGCTAAATAGTTGTATATAAGTACATAGTAATATGGGAAAGTGAACACTTAGTAAAATATGGTCACCCTGACAAATGAGTCAGCGAGATAATGAGAAACTTCCTTTTAAGGGACCTTGAAAGATGATAGGAAACTTTTGTCGTAAGAAGCCTTGAAAGATAACAGGATATCCATCCATTAATTATGGCATCTGCAAGGATCCATCTGGTTGGAGCCAGTTTTGCGGTTACTGGCTGAAGTAACTCAGAATTCTGGGATAAAGGTGAAGAGCACATGGTGAAGAAGACCATGAGCCTTCCTCCAAAAGACCCTGGCCCACGACCACCGCATGGCAGTACGCATGTGGCAAGAGGAGGAGACTTAGGATAATGAGTTACCAGAAACAATTATAATAATTGCATCTATTCTTAGAACTAATTGTAATAACCCAGCCTATACTAATGAATATGCATGTTTTTGTATCATAAATGATGCCTGCTTCATGATACTGTGTTCAAGCTCAGAGGAGCGATCCCCCTTGCACCCAGCGCTGCAATAAACATACCTGCTTTATAACTCTTTGTGAGTTGTAAAGTTTGTTTCCGCACATCAGTAGCTGTATATAAATATATAGTATATTTATAGATACACTTCCAGGTTTTATTCAGATATAACAATGAGCTTCTATTTGCATTTGTTTTTTTCCACTCTGAAGTTGTAGAAGCTTCTTTAAAAAAGAATATCTAATAAGACTCCTGATTTATATAAAGGGTAAGGGGTGTGGTAATAGTAGGGGAAAAAATTAGGAAGGAAATACCCACAGGTGAAAAGATGTGATCATATGGTACAGATTAGGAATTAGTTGTCTTGCAAGAAGGGTGGGTAGACAGCACAACAAGATCCAAAAAGCCCAACACTCCAGGTCCAGAAATCAAGGAGAGGCAAAGTGTTGCTCTACTTTCATCCTACACAGCAGCAACACTCTTCTACAACAGAGCTGAACTAAACTTTACTGAGAAAATATTGAATAAAAATTTGCAGTTTGGATGAGAGATAGACAAGGTAGTCCCTTCAAATAATCAACTAGGGAGTCCAGTGGGTGTATACATGTGAAAATGATGCATTCATAGGCAAGTCTTCAACACATTTCCTTCTCATATCCCCAACCTGTATGCTTGTAATGCAAAGAAGAACAAGGAAGCATCACTGTCCACCAGCTCCTAGCCAGAAATGAAAGAACACACTCATGTTTAACTCCTCTTTCTGGGGTTGAGGAAGCATGAAAAGAGTTGATGGCTAACCTGCCAGCCAAAGGAGTAACCCAGTTCTTAAATCTCTGCCAATGTAGATGAGTCTATTTCTCTGTGATCTCTGTAAAAATACCTGGAGTGGAAAGTTGATCTGGTTTGTGAGGATATCTGGTTAGCAGCTATACAGCATTAAAAAGGCAGGGGTAGGGAGAGACAGATAAGAGGAAATTAAGGAAATGTAATAAATTTCCAGACACACAAACCCTAGTGAGGAGATAGCTGAGACAACAGAAGCTACTAGAAGTCACCGTGGATGTTACCTGAAGAAGCCTGGAAACTGCTGTGATAACTGCTGCACCTCCTCTAGCTGCTTGTTTCTGTGTTCTACTCACCCTGCCGATGCTGGGAAACCCACATGAGAATGAAAGTGTGCCCTTTTTGCAGAAGGTGTTGGAGAAGGCTGGTGCATGATACTGACTAGATATAATCTGTGGGATTTGGTGGGGTGGTATTGATCTTTGAAGGACAAGCCAGTTCATGCATCTAAGGTAAGCTACGCAGCTGCAGTAGGCTTTTGGTCTTGCACAAGAAAACCACTTTTGAAGGGCTGGAGGAAGTACAATACCAAAAGGGATTTTGAAAGAGCAACACTGTTCAGTGTCTAATGATGGGACATAACAAATCTTCACAGGTTGCAGACTGCATAATTGGGAAGGAAAAAAGCACAGCTGGAGGAAATTGCTGCTTGAATTATCAATGGTAAATTCAAGTGCATTAGACAGAACTCCACCCCCAGACTCTAGTCCCTTGAAAATCAAAAAAGCAGCACTGTGGGCTACTGAAATTGGTAAATTGCAGAGGCTAGGAGGTGATAGTGAGTATGTGCATCTGTTCCTGCAAGCACATTTAGCTAATAGGAATACAGACACCCTTCCATTGTGGAAGGCTCACTTGAATGGCATAATAGATATTAGGATTTAAAATTATTGATGTCAGATTTTTATGCTTAAAATGTTAGAGGAGAATATATCATCCCAGATCCACCAGCCTGGGAAAGGCAAGGCTGCTGCTGCTCCATGTCCCCAGGTCTAACCAGTAGAGTGTCTGAAGATGTGTTCCCAGCAGGTGTACACACAAACTCACTCATGTATACTACATATATGCATATATATATATATATATAGGTAGATACACATATATTAATGGTGAGCCACACAGATCACAGACAGACACTCAGAGAACTCACACAAACACAGGCAGCATCAACAGCCTCATCCTGCTCCCCTCTCTGCATGGACAGAATGGAAATGCACCAGTGAGAATATATACATATATAGATAAGTACAAGGTGGATCCCTTCAGCAGCTGGTCTCAGACACTCAGTCTGCCCAATAGCTGACCCCTGGATCCCAGTGTCCACAGTTGCTGGCATCTGGACATAGAAGCCCCTGAGGCCACAGCCCTACTCCGGTTGCTGGTACAGACTGTTGCAAACACATACAGATCTGCCTCTCCAAGTCCCATTAGCTGACCCTGCTGTGCTCCCACCTCTATAGACCCACAGGCATTCTCACACCCAGACCCCACTGGAATTCCCCATGTCCCATAGCTAACCCTCCTGTGCTCTCACTCCTGTAGACAAACAGGTGCTCTCATATCAAGAGCTGCCCTTAGAGACCCTCTCACCCCCTTCCTTTCAGGCCTCTTAATCTAGTCACCAGCTCATCCAGGTTGATTTTCCTTAGCTATCACACACTCACTTGCACACCTGAAATCACTCATGTTGCTGCTCCATGGACACATGGACCTTCTGACCCATGGTCTGGCTCCAGGTGCTGCACTCAAACCCTCATACACATACGTGCACACTGAATAGGGACCTGTTGCCCAGGACAGATTCAGAAAGGATTTTTATAAGAAGACAGGATAGACTGTGCTGATCAGGGTAGGACACGGCACGACATATGTGCTGACAAGTCAACTATTTACACAAGACTGGCCCTTTTTAATCCCCTTTCCCCTCTATTTTCCCACTGTTGTTCCTCCCCAAATCACCTAGCCCCCTCCCTTGTCCCACCTTGATTCCCCCACCAAGTATTCCATAAATTCTGTATGATCCCAAACTGCTTTCGCCTGCATTCCATAATGTGTCCCAGTGCTAGGCAGCAATGCCCCTTAGTCACAAATGGGATCTAGAAAGCTGCTTCTGATGACTCATGGTGGTGGGTGTCATACTGGGTCACTGGGGCTGATGGCTTTACTGGGACAGCCCTGGGAAGGGCCTGGACATGGCACTCCTGCCTCAGGAGTCCTTGATTTGGGTTTCCACCACCACTGTGTGTATATGTGCTCCTCTGGGCTTGTTGGCCCCTGTGATGGGCCTGGGCACAGCTCTGCAGGTTATTATGTGGGCTCCCTTCCTGCTGTTGTCTGCCTCAGCTCCTTTGTGGTTGTGCAGAGGAGAAAGGTCACAGTGTACCACCACCAACCCACAGCTTCTACTCAACAACACTCTTACATCTTCCCATGCCTATATCAATGTGTGCAACATGTACTTCTCATATCACAATGTTAAAATACCATTAGCAATGAGTACACACATATAATGACTATCACACAGTCCCCATAGTGTTTCTTGCATTTTATGCTGTAAAAATACTAAAGAACTGAACCATGGGGGCCCTGTCCAAGAGCTATACATTAGTGATTTGTAAAATCCTCTGTAGACAGTATTTGCTCTGAAGGATGTGAATGCTGACTGATTGCAGCACTTGGCTGTTGGACCAGTCAGTGGTGTCTAGGTAGATGCATTTAGGAAAATGCAACTAGTAAAACATAATTTATTATACATTTTCATATGTGTATACATACCTATATATACACCACTATGTAAAAATACATATGTATATGTATGTAGGTGTAGAAATCTACATAGATCTATAGTCTCTCTATATATACCTACATGTATGAATCACCTCTTTGTACTTTAACGCTGGTCTGTACTTCCTTACAATAGAAATACATTTATGATTGCTTTACTACTGCCAAAGAAATTGGAAAGCAAAAAATTCTGCCTTTGTGAACTTTATCTGTTAGATATCTCAATCTAATCTAGCCACTCTGGATGGATTACTGTAACCACAAATGACCATCTCGGATAACAATGTTAGCTGTCTTTGTTATGTCAGAGATGAGAAATAGATACTCCTAAAGAATGATTCCTCCGTTTATCTTTGATATGTAACTTACAGCAGGATTTCCCTCCAGAAGTGGCTGTTTTTTTTCCCATTATCCATAAAGAGATCATTCTTTGATTGACTTAGACTTGAAGGTCCAATTTTAGGCAGTTAAAATTCAGTAAGAGTTGATCTTGTGGAGACAACTTACCCCAGCTAACATCTGTAAATGATGGGAAAGCAAAGCAGTTGAGAATCCTGAAAAAGGTTGTATATCATTATGTTTCTTTTTTATTTTCCTTCCTTTTTCTATCACAGTGGTAAAAATATTACAGAGTAAATAATAGTGATTTTTTTGTTTGCTTTTTAAAACATGGAAAATCTGGAAATCTATGAAGAGGGTGACTAAATAAAAATGTATCGGACCTATGCATAGGCAGATACACTTTTGCAAGATTTGGGATAATTATTCAGATGTCATTTAATTCAGGACAATATTAATTGTGTTTAACTTTACAGATTGTCTGAAACTTCTGAAATTGCTACTGAAAAAAATGACAGTGTTGTGAGTCTTTCTGGTAGCATCTTTCTGTCAAAAGCTCTCTGTAGTGCTTCCTTTACCTCGCTGTTCCTGAGGCTGTAGATGGTGGGATTGATTATTGCTGTAATGGCTGTGTAGGAAAGCGGCACAAGCTTTTTGTTATTTGGTGAGAGTCTTGACATGGGATGGATTAAATTAATTAAGCAAGTTGTATAGTAAAGGAGAATAACAACCACGAGATGAGCAGCACGTGCAGAACATCCTCTGCCTGCTTTTAGCCACGGACATCTGGACAATGGTATAGATGATGTAGAGGTAGGAGATGGTGATTAGGATAAATGACAGCACCATGATAAGCAGCATGGCAATGAACACCAGAAGCTCAAATATATAGGTATCTGAGCACACCAATCTCAGGGCAGGTGAGATGTTACAGAAGAAATGTTTGGCTTGGTTTGACTTGCAGAAAGGCATGCTGAATAGCCAGCCAGGGAGCCCAACTGTTACAGGGAATCCAGAAAGCCAAGCTACTGCTGACATTTGCCTACGTGTCTTTTTGGTCATGATGATAGCATAGTGTTGTTGGTGGCAAATTGCTACATACTGGTCATAAGCCATGATCACTAACAGGAAACACTCAGGCATGATAAAGAGTATGATCAAGTTCAACTGCAGAGCACAAGTTGTGAAAGAAGAGGTCTTCCTTTCTGACAACAAACTTATCAACGTATTTAGCACAATATCTAAGATGTAGCAGATCTCAATCAAAGGCAAATTTTTAAGAAAATAGTATATGGGCACATGAAGGGCAGGGTCAACAGTTACACTGAGGACAATGACAATGTTTCCCATCATTGTGTCTGTGAAGACCAAGACAACTACCGCAAAGAGTAAGAGCTGGAGTTGAGCAAGATGAGTGAAACCCAGAAGGATGAAGTGAGTTACTCTTGTTATGTTTCCCAAATTCAGATCTTCCTCATTCTCCATCTGAAGAAAGAATAAACCCAGAAGTTAATCCCCTATGATGATGTTGCAGATTGGTGTATTCAGAAATTAACAATGGAATGGATGATTGTAGTTCAAATAGCTTTATAAGACAGTCTTAGGGAAATACCAATATTTTTTACTTCAAACGTCTAGATACTCATTTACAGCCTGACACACAAACATATTCAGAAGCACACCCCCAAATACCTTTCCATATTAAACCACTCACATAAACAATCAGTTACAGACATGCAGTTATATGTACACACATGCAATCACACAGAAACACAAGTGTATTTATGCATCTGGATACAGAATCCCCACTTTCCCTTCCATCCTCCTCATGCTTACATCTAGAGGTCAATCAACACACTCACTCTCAAGAGTAACAGAAGCAAATACATAACCCCTTTGTGTTCATATCTATAGGAACAACCAATACTATAATACTATTGCTCAGCATGAGCATTACCTTTCCCCTTAAGTAGTCCTAATGAAGATAGCTTGGTTGCAATCTATATAGGATGTGGGAAGAAAATCTCTAAGTTGTCTTTCCCTTCCACTTTTAGCCCCAAACAACATCCCATCTTTCATTATGCTGAAGATGCCAGTGGTGAATCATGTTTTTTGGGTAAAGTTCTGAACCTCAGAATGAGACCAAAGGGCATGTTGAGCTATGGGATTGAGGAAGAAAGAGAGATAGAGATGTCCACTGCCAGTATCTGCAAGACACCCTGATTCAAGCCACATGATAAGGATATGCTAATCTTTACTGCAGAACTCTTTTTTTCCTCAATATTTTATTAGTATGAAAATAATGATTACTTTTTAAAATTTTCATTGCCATTAAACTTGACTGGGTATTTTGGGGATTTTTTAATACTTCTTTTTAAAATAAGAGATAAAAGGATTTTCAGTTACTTGAAAATGGTTTCTAATGTCTTTTTACCCTTTGCTGTCTTTCCCACATGTTGTATGAGAGAAGGGGAAAAACTAAAATTAAATATTTTTTTCTTTGCATAAGACAGCTGAAGATGAAAGTTGTATTTGTTTTAAAACAGAATGTTTTCTGAAAGAAGGAAACTAAGAAAAGGCCAAAGCTATGTAGAGAAATGTTAAGTGCAGAAATGTGAAATGACATTTCACACTGCTATCTATTTTCCAAGAAAAATATATCACAGCTTTTCCTCATTCATTTGTGGTCTTGAAAGAACTCACCATATTAATTCATTTAACATTTCTTGGTGGTTGAGTGTAGCTGGTGTAAAACATCATCAGACTTTCATTGTGCCACATTCAACAACTTTTATTAAACTACATGTGATTTTCCTCTTCATCTTTTATACATCCCTTGTTCTTGCATTTCAGCCTTCTCAGTAAATAACCCTGGCTACACCTGAAAAGCTCTAGATTGTCTCATGACTCATGTTATTTCTCTCTTGGGAGAAAACCTGGCATCTCCTTTCATCTAGCTGCTCTTCACCATTTTCAAAGTAACTCCCTTAGCACTTTTCCTAGAGGCATTTAAAATTGTGATTGTGGGAGGATCTTTAGAGTACTGTTTATTTTTAGACAACAAGAAAGTTGTATAAAGCCAAAGAACTATCTTGAGAGTAGAATATTAAGGAGAGAAAACATCTAACTTCTGATTTTTTGCCACTTATTTGCCACTCCAGAATGGTAAGCATCTCATATGGGTCCTGTGTCTTATCTACCAACCCTGTTCTGTTGTCCCAGGTGTCACAATGTGTCTAAACTGGCAATAGGTGCCTTTGTTAGGAAAATGAAACTTGCTGTACCTATCTAGATCTTATTCATAGACAACAGAGTCACAATACAGGACACAGTTTCTTGACTGATTGAACAGGCATACAAATATATCCTATAGGCACTACACGAAGTAGATGTCTGAATATGTGACTCACCTGCGTAGAAAATGCCTCCTGTTACCTATTTTCTATACACTCTAGCTATCTATGCCAGTATATGTAGCAATAAGAACTCTCCTCCAGGCTTATTGAAGAGTAGCTCAGGTCATCATGGCTAGCATAAACTGTTCTTCCAGGAACAGAGAAACTCTAGTCATGTCAGTGTACAAGACAGATAAAGTACAGATGAGCCTGTTCTCTGGGACCAGACAGCTACACACAGCCTCACTGACTGTGGTGGTTCTTTGACTAACAAGCCCTTCCTGTAAAGGCATGCTACCATAGAACAAGCAGAAGGATTTGACCCGCCATGAGACAAAGCAGGAAAAAGAAGGTAAAAGAGATGGATACAACAAAAGGAAGAACAGTAAATAGAAGGTCATAGAGAGAAATGTCAGGGAGAACCATGACTGCACATCATCATCCTCCCTTACTCTTTCTTAGTTTTGTAGTTCAGTCAGGCAAAAGACGTGGCCATGGCACAAGTTTGGGATTGTTGTTACAGATTCCTTCCTTGGCATCCACAGGAGCATTAGGGATGTTCTGAACCACTCAGCTAGGGAAGAGCAATGGTTCTATGCAATCACCCCTTATTTACACTCAACACTTACACCGTGAGCCAGAGACAACATCCTGTCTTGGGGGAAGGTGACAGCAGCAGAGTCCAATGGCCTCACTATCACCCGGAAACATAGGCTTGTAAGAAAACCCTACTACCCTCAACCCTCTTGTCAAGGCTGTCAAGTGATGTCTTTGCAAGGATGATATCATCCCACTGCTTGAAAGATGGTGGCAATGAGCAGAATTCCCAAATGACTGGAAAAAGAAAAATTTCACACCCAGTTTTCCAAATAAGCAAGAAGAACGCAAGAAACTATCTAATTCTCCAGCAAGATTATGGAGCATATATTCATGGAAGCCCTATCCAGGCACAGAAATGACGAGAAAATGATTTGGAACAGTCAGCATTGATGACTCAATGGAAAATCATGCCTGAGTAGCCTGGTTTGCCAAGAAAATATGTTGGAATTTCTTAAATTAGCCATTTTACTTTGAAAATGCAAAAAACCTCACAAAAAGGCCAATCTCCCAAACTCAACAAAACTAAACAAAAAAACCCCTATGGTTTCTTTGTGACTCTCACACAGAAACAGGCCACAGTTTCCAGTCCAGAATGGCTCAAATTCATCCTACCTGTACCATGAGGATTATAGAGTAAACTGTTCTCTTCTCCATGTATGTGTTACCTCAAGTGGCAGCTATTTTGCTCTCTCCAAATGGAAAACCAAGGTAGAAATAGCATCTAGACAGCTAACCTGAATATGTATCTAAGCACCACACAGCCATTTCCTCATTTTCTCTCCTCAGCAGAATGGGGGAAAGAATTGGAAGAGAAGTGATAAAACTTGTGGATTGAAATAAAGACAGTTTAATAGGTAAAGCAAAAGCTTCCTGTGCAAATAAATCAAAATAAGGAATCCTTTCACTACTTCCCATCAGCAGGCAGGTGTTTAGCCATTTCCAGGAGAGCCATCACACGTAACAGTTACCTGGGGAGACGAACAAAATAACTCTGAACATCCCCCACTTCCTCCTTCTTTCCCCCAGCTTTTACTGCTGAGCAAGATGTCATATGGTATGGAATATCTCTTTGGTCAGTTGGGGTCAGCTGTCCTGGCCCTGTCCCCCCCCTTTCTCTTCTGTGAGAAGCAGAAAAAGCATTGATGCTGTGCAAGCACTGCTCAGCAATAGCTAAAACATCATTGTGTTATCAATACTGTTTTTGTCACAAATCCAAAACAGAACACCATATGAGCTACTATGAAGAAAATTAACTCTATCCCAGGCAAAACCAATATAACAATGCGGACAGTCTGAGGAGCAGTGCCCTCAAACAAAACAATTGGCAGTTTGGGCAAGTTCTGAGAATTCCTTTGAATTGTTTTTTTTTATTAAATCCACGTGGGAGATAGAGTGAGGTCCATCATGTTAACAGTGCATATGATCGTAGCCAATTATCTGCTGCAAGATGATTGCTTTTCTGGTTGTACATAGGAATACAATGACATGTAAACGCCAGGAAAGACCCCAGTAAGTGTGTATATGGTCATTTCCATAACTTTCTAGACTTCATTGACTCATTAAGTTGGGGAGGAATTTATGTACCTTGAAAGCCTGGTACCTTTTAAGTGATCTATAATGTATCCTTTGGCTTCCAGCTGCTGCTCTGGAAGGATGTGGTTCTTCTGTAAGTCCTATGTGTGACAAATCAGGTTGGGCAGGAGCTCTGATGTTCCCTGATTCACTCCCACTTGGAGCATGGCTAATTTAGATCAGATTCCTTAAGGCCTTGTCCAAGCACACTTTGATTGTCTCCAGTCATGGACATTCTATCATCATATCTGCTAGCTTTGGACCACTAAACTGATCTATGTGATAGAATGAAGTACAGATGGAAGAAAAAAGTCAGTCTGAAGGTTAAGGGACCCATGTTGGGACCCATATGTTGGTGTCCATATGTATAGATGTTGAAGGTCCTGTTATTGTCATTGGTGTTCTTAGATTGGATTCAGCTGACTAAACATAGGGTTCTAATGACACTTCTGGGTCTGTGGAATGATTGACGTGACGCAGAATATTTCAGCTTCTCCAGAAGGATGAAGGTTCCTTATGACTCCTGTGTAGTATCTGATTGTCTCTTGCAGATGTGTCAGATACCCAAGGTCAATTAGCAAGACACTGTACACTGCTTTCTAGACACTGGGCTTGTTCTTCTAAAGTAAGGAGAGAAAAAAATACCAACCATGACAGCAGCTATATCATACTGTTCTTTATATCTTTAAATTATTGTAAATTATTCAGAAACTTTGTCCTCAAAAGACAAAAAAATTGTTCTGCTTGCCACAAGATTTAATAAAATATGCAAAGAATAAAGTGGTTTTAGTTAATTTATTGTGTATTTACTTCAAAATCAGCAGCACCAAAACTGACCAGGCAAGCCAGAAGAAAAATGAGCTAGCATCAGTGAACAAACTCATAGATAATGTATGAATCTAATGAGTAAAATGAGCA